GATGGCCAGATCAAGGGTTTCTGATTAGTTGTTTAAGGCTGTCTGAGTTGAGCTTGGAATGTTTCCAGGTGTGAGTTGAAGCTCTCTAGGGCTATTCCTATAGGAAGGAGCTATAGGTCCAGGAAGAGGTGAGTCATTTTGATGGTGTCCCTGGACTTTGGAAGAGGCTATTGGAAGCAGAACTTTGGGTCCTATGAGGACTCTGTGGATAGTGGGAAATGCTGTGTGTGGCCTGGTGTCAACAATTGTGCTTCAATGGTCAAGATTCAGAAACACATCCTTAGGTGTCTGCTCCTCTAGACTGCCTGTTGTTTGGGCCTGAGGTGTCTGCTGGTCCCCCAAAGTTTCCTGTGGGTTTTTGTTACTGGATATACCACTGTGGGAGCTACCGTAGTAATCACAGTAGAAGATCCCTTTACAAAAAGCACTCCATGTGGATGGGCCTTGTGCTCGGCAGGAATAGGGTCCAGGGGAAGCAGGGGCAAAAGTGCATACTCAGGGGCCCTCCTGAGCAAAGGTCTAGCCTGCCCTCTTGGGGTTGTATCTCTCCAGGATGTGCAGAGAGCTGGGCCTGGGGCAGCCACAGAAGTATATTCCTACTTTACTCAGTCTCTCAATGCAATCCTTTCTGGATGGTCCTGGGGATGCTTCTGAGGGAGGGCTGACAGAGACTTATGGAAAGGCTTGTCTCTGAGTGGCTCCATGACTGACATGTTGCCCTTGTGCCCTGGAGAGGGTGATGGTGAGGTCTGGAGACCCTGACATGTAGGCAGAAGATCGGGCCCTGTCAGGACAAGCCTGACTTTGTGCTTTGAGGCATGCCTGCCCTTTCCTCTTTGAACACCCCAGAGACTATATATACCCTCCCTAGAGAGCCTGGTCATCTCCCTGTCTGTCTGTGTGAATCGGCTGCTGACCTGTTGCCCACGTCTCCTTTTACAAGTTCTTGTGCTTCCATTCACTGGCTCTTATGTGATGTCATGACAGTTGTTTCCTAAGGGTCTCCTCCCTAGTCACCTTCACAGTGGGGGCCTGACCCTGGAATACAAGGGCACAGGCAGTCCTTTCTCATCTCATTAACAGAGTGATTAGACTTTGCTTGTTAGGATTTCAGGGGTTGAGTGAGAGGGAATCCTATGGGTGGAACTTTTTCCCCTTTTGGATTGTAGGTCCTTTTTATTCTCAGCATTGAAGCTGATCCCAGCATGTTGCTCTGTGTGGCACTCTCCCCTAGAATCCATCTTTATGCTCCCCAAGTGCAAGTGTGTCACAATTTATTTTGTCTTCCAAGGAGGCCCTTTGTTCTGTTTTCTGTTTGTGGCTGTTCAGAGATATTGCAGTGTCACATATTTCTGCAGAGGCTGTGGGGACACACTTAGGGCTCCATTGCTTATTGAGAGCTGCTGGTAGTGAAAAATCCATGAGAGTATACAGTAGTGACAACTAGTGTTCAGAAGGTCAACCTATCAGAACTAAGGGTTCTGTTAGAGGAAACCATCATGCAAGGACTTATGGAATTCCTGCCTTTTGAATGAACTGGCTGTCTCTGGTTGTAAACTTCCTGTTTACAAAAATAACAGCTTTGATTCTCTGATTTACCATGCATCTCCATGCTGTGTGTTCACATAATCTCACGATTGCACCTCAATCTTGGACATGACTTTCCCTATACATTTGGGGTAAGTGGATAACTGTCCCCAGCTGTGTTTATTTTTCATTAACATATATCTGGCCAGGGCCATCCTCCAGACAAAAGTATTTCAGCAAAGATAACTTTTTCAAGGGCAAATGCAGAGAAATAAACATTAGCTCAACTCACCGACAGACAGAGAAAAGAACCACTAACAATTAAATTCTCAACTTCTTACCTTCACCCTGGGTTATTTACACAAGACTCTAATTTAAGAGATTTACTGCTCACACTCCTGGGTGATGTTTTAGCCATTTGCTAGTTACTGAGTTAAGGCAGTTACTTCCCACTGACCCAAGGAGACTGCCTACCTACAAGGCCAGGGAGGAGATAGGAGCCAAATTTCTTTCTTGTGCAAAGTAAGTTTTTATTCTTCCACTCCCAGGGGTTATTCCTAGATTTTCTGCTCAGCAAATACTTGAGCCAAAGTGCTTTTACTAACCAAATGCTACTTACTCTGCCATAGGTTGCTTAGCCACCTAGCCTATGTCCCCCTCTTTTTCAGAAAGCAGCTGCAGCCAGGAGGAGTGGGAAAAGGCGGCCAAAGACAGTTTACTTTCTTGTGACTTATTGACCCCTAACATTCTGTCTAGATATTTCTAGACTTTAGTTTGAGCATATAAATTCTCTAATGATGTTAGCCTTTCATGGACCGGACCAGAGAACTCCCCTTTAGTCATTCCCATATTGGGTTGTAATTGGAAGCTCACAATTATTGCTGTATATGTGGATCCTTATCATTTCTCTCTCTGACCCTGAAAACATCAAGCCTAGCATTGTTTAGCAAAGAATTACTGTGTGGGTATCCATAATGGTTCTCTGAGAGCCTGGGGAGGATGGATGGAGTAGAACAAAGATGAGGACAGAGATGGAAAGAACTAGGTAGTGAGGAGAGAACAGCTGGAGGGATGAGAGAAGGAGGGACTGAGAGGAGCTAAGTAAGAGAGCAGAAAAAAACTGTGTAGATAGAATTGACCTAGAAGAATAAAGTGATTGGACTTAACTCAGTGTGCTTAGATTCATTAGATATCCCTCAGATTAGAACCCTCAGCTGGTAGTTAGACTCTTACACGAGCCGTTGGTGCAAACAATATAGGGTGGACCTATTATTGTTTGTGTTAGTTGCTGATGTAGGAGTGGATCCAGGGTGCCCAGCAGCAATGCCTGGCAACTCTTCTTCAGCTGTGTCTTTGTTCTCCAGTCAGGCATGTTCTACTTACTGCTTCTGAGCTCTATGTTCTGGACAATATCTGCAGGTCTTTCTTTCAGCATGGCCTACTGACTCTCTTTAGTTATGTCTACAGTAACTCTTAAAATTACTATTGGGTGGTGATGTGGCATGATTGAGCATATGAGTTACTGGTAGAGGATTCACTGGCATACACATTGCATTGTGTTTCAATGAGACCAGATTGCCCATCTAGTTCAGAGCATAGGCCAGAAGGGCAGATTTTGATAAGACTTCTCCCTTGTTTTGTGACCTTCAGGAAGTGGAGTTTACAGTGGGCGGTAGTCACTCCAGAGAAGGGTGAGACAGGGCTACTGAATATGGAGTCTCAGGGTTGTTCCCAGTGGCATTCTCTCCCTTGACAGATTCTTAATGCTTCAAGACTGGTGCCCAAAATCTTTTTGTGGTGAGCAGTAAGCTAGGAGATCATTCTGCCCTTTGTGTTCCCTACCAGGATATGGGGAGCTCTTATGTGGCTGAAGTCAGTCCCAGCTTCAGTACCCTGCTCCCATTAGTCTTTCATGGATCCAATTAGAAACAATCACAGGCTCCCTGTACTCCCCAAGTTCCTGATGACCCCCTACTGAAATTGTGATGTGGGTAACTTTGTCTTGTGGGTGCCAGGTCAGGATGGCCAAATCAAGGTTTTCTGATTGTTTGTTTAAGGATTTCTGAGTTTAGCTTGGAGTGTTTCCAGGTGTGAGATGAAGCTCTCTAGGGCTATTCCTATAGGAAGGAGCTATAGGTCCAGGAGCAGTGCTGAGTGGCTTCTGGTGATGTCCCTGGACTTTGAGAGAGGCTGTTGGGAGCAGTCCTTTTGGTGCTATGAGGACTCTTGGGTTAGTGGGAAATGCTGTGTGTGGGCTGGTGTCAACCAATGTGCCTCAATGGTCAAGATTCAGAAACACTTCCTTAGGTGTCAGCTCCCCTAGACTGCCTGTTGTTTGGAGCTGAGGTGTCTGCTGGGGCCCAAATGTTCATAGTGGGTTTTTGCTGCTGGATATACCACTGTGGTAGCTACCGGAGTAATCACAGTAGAAGATATCTTTACAAAAAGCCCTGCCTGTGGATGGGCCTTGTGCTCTGCAGGACTAGGGTCCAGGGTAAGCACAGACTTCAGTGCAGACTCAGGGGCCTTCCTGAGCAAAGGTCTAGCCTCGCCTCCTGGGTTTATGTCTCTCCAGGAATGTCCAGGCAGATGGGCCTGGGGCTGCCACAGAAGTGTATTTTTTCTTCCATGAAGGCCCTTTTTTTCTGTTTCCTGTTTGGGGCTGTTCAGATATGTTGCAGTGTCACATATTTCTGCAGAGGCTGTGGGGACACATTTAGGGCTCCATTGCTTATTGAGAGCTGCTGGTAGTGAAAATCTATGAGAGTATTCAGCAGTGACAACTAGTGTTCAGAAGGTCAACCTATCAGAACTAAGGGTTCTGTTAGAGTAAATGATCATACAAGGTGTTATGGAATTCCTGCCTTTTGAATGAACTAGCTGTCTCTGGTTGTAATTTTCTTGTGCAATAACAGCTTTGATTCTCCTAATTACCATGCATCTCTCACGATTGAGCCTCAATCTTTGGACACAACTTTCCCTGTACATGTGGGTTAATTGGACAACTGTCCCCAGCATGTTTATTTTTCATTTACATATATCTGGCCAGGGCCATGCTCCAGACAAAAGTATTTCAGCAAAGTTACCTTTTTTTTGGGGGGGGGGGTTTCGATGCTGAGGACATTTTTAAGAGCCATGCCATATTGCCTGCCTGAGTTAAGTTTCTATTGTGCAGTATTGAGCCACTAACCAGAAAATTTTGACATACCTGAACAAGTCCTGAGTTTTTAGAAAATAACTTAACATTTCCTTATCTTTCTGCTACAGTGACCACTAGTAACAATATTTTGTGGTTAGGTTGCGTGCTTGGGTTACTTGGCAACTCAACAGTCCCCTGATCTTTTCCCAAAAAAGTTTCCTGGTCTCCTTCTATAAAACTCGCCTGAGCAATATAAAATTTTGCAGCTTGATCAGAATACTGCCTTGCTCTCAATTCTGTGTGTCTCTTGTCCCTTTCATTCGTCATTCCCCCTTCTAGGGTCTCTGCTGAAGATCCTGCTGGTCGGGACAACTGGCGCCCAGTGTGGGAATCTGGGTTTGGAGGAGTGGTGAACGTCATCACACACCAAGGCAGGCCTGCCTAAGTGTTGGACCACTGTGGAAGATGGCTCCATGAGTGAAGGTCAGGTCAGTGATCGCCACAGAAACGCCTGGCCTTGAGACAGATCCAGAGGAATTTTAACATGATGACACAAGGTATGTTTACCATGGGACAAGCATTTAATAAACAGGATTTGTTTATTTTGGGACTGAAACAGTTTTTCAAGACATGAGGAATTAGGGTTAAAAAGAAAGACATAAAAAAATTTCTTGACTGTATTGGAGATGTCTGTCCTTGGTTTCCCCAAGAAGGAACCATAGATGAAAAACATTGGAGACAGGTTGGTGACTGTTTAAATGATTTTTACCAGACCCTGTACTGAAAAGTTCCCCTTTCAAACCTTTTCCTACTGGAATTTAATTAATGATGTCTTAAAAACTTATAATCATTTCTCTGATGTTCAAAAATTAATTAAGGAGGGAGAAAAAGCCCTGAAGAGTCCTCCTATCCACTCTCTGTCATTCTGTCAGTATTAATATTCCTGAATCCCCCACATCTAGTCTTCTGGCAACAAATAACCATCAGAGAAGAAAAAAGAGGGAATCCCCTACTCTGGGTCCACCTACCCATTTCTCCCACATAGGTGTTGGCCACTTATCCATCTTTAATGGCCAAGCTAATTATTAAGGACAGAGAAACAAGTCGCCAATACTTTGGAAAAGATCCTGACTCCATAGTCGTCCCCTATACGCGAGAACAATTAGATTGGCTGCTTCAAACAAATGATGAATGCCCCATTGCCTGCTCTTCCTTCCTTGGTACTATCGATAACCATTACCCTAGTGATCCCTTGTTACAGTTTGCCAGAATTCATCCCGTTGTTTTCCCCAAATTACCTGCCTCACAACCTCTAAGGGAGGCTCCCCTGATATTTACTGATGGCTCAGCCAATGAGATTGCTGCCTATGTTGTGGATGGAAAGGCTACCTCCTGCCTCTCCCCATATTCCTCAGCACAGCTTGTTGAAATTTATGCAGTCATTCAAGTTTTTCAATTATTTCATTCTCAGCCCTTCAATTTGTATACTGATAGTGCTTATGTTGCCCATTCTGTTCCCTTATTGGAAACTGTTCCCTTTATTAAACCCTCTACCAATGCAGCTTCACTTTTTCTTCAGCTGCGCTCCTTGATTATGGCTAGACAGTGCCCCTTTTTTATTGGCCATCTTCGGGCCCATTTAAAATTGCCTGGTCCTCTATCTGAAGGAAATGCCTTGGCTGATGCAGCCACACAATGAGTTTTTCCTGTTCTTGCAGGATTCCTTTCTCAGGTTGCCCAAGCACACTCTCCTCACCATTTAAATGCTCATTCCCTTCGTTTGTTGTTTAAGCTTACCCGAGAACAGGCCCAAGAAATTGTTAAAAATCGCACCGACTGTGCTGTCTCCCTCCTGGTTCAACATCTGCGAGTTACACCCGGGGCTTGGTTCCCAATGAAATGTGGCAAATGGATGTTACTCATTTAATTGAATTTGGCAAACTTAAATACATACATGTTACAGTTGATACCTTTAGTGGTTTTATATTTGCCTATCTCTAGGCCAGAGAGGCCTCCAAAAATGTTATTTCCCATATTTTACAATGCTTGCTCTGTACAGGGAAAGCCTAAAGTTATAAAAACTGATAATGGCCCAGGATATACTCTGAAAACTTTTCAATCTTTTTGCCGACAACTTTAGATTAAGCATGTCACTGGCATTCCTTACAACCCCCAGGGCCAGGGCATCGTTGATTGTGCTCATCAGACTCTAAAATCCATGCTTCATAAATTAAAGAAGGGAAGCCTGTATGATACATGATTCAACCCCTGAAATCTTTCACATCATGCCCTTTTTGTCCTTAATTTCCTTACCTTGGACAAGAATGAATGGTCTGCAGAGGACTGCTTTTGGCATCCACAAACTCAAAGCCACCAAGCATTGGTCATGTGGAAAGACCCCTTAACTGCCCAGTGGAAAGGGCCTGACCCAGTCCTGATCCGGGGTCGAGGGTCAGCATGCATCTATGACCAAACAGAGGGAGGTCCTCATTGGCTCCCTGAGAGATTAGTTAAATAAGTCAACTCTAACCAATCACCCAGGGAAAAGTATAGTCCCTGAGGTTGTTTCCCTTTCCTTCTCCTTCTTTACAGATGCTGATGAAGAAAAAACTGGGAGAATTTCCTTGGATATTCTGGATCATGCTGCTGTCTGTACCTGCTCATCAGGACCAGAGACTGGTCGACACACCCCCATTTGCATGGCGTTTTTATTTGACTGAAAATTGTATAATTATGCTAAAACACAGACCTTTGGCCACCTATTGGCTACCACTGACTGCCCCTTGCAAGGATGTCAGAATCCCATTTTACTCAACTTTACTGATTTCCATAATTCCCCTGGCAAGGTAGCTCCTGCTGTTTTTTGTATGATCAGACTGTTACATTTGCTAAACTTATTTGAAAGAGAAAAGCTAGGATGCCCCTATTCTTACTGCAAAATTCATGATGCCATTCCTCCTTCTAAGGGACAGGTAATTTGGAGAAAATGGAAAGGTCCTAAATTTTATAGGACATCTATAGGATATTCCCTAGTGGTTTGGGACCCGTGGGACTCAGGATGGACTAGTCCAGTAGAAGGAGCCATGTATGTGGCCCAAACAGCCACATGGCCTAGCTCCAGACTCTACATTTTGCGCTCTTATGTACAAGTACAATCTACGGTCCATCATAAGATCCTTATACAAGAAAAAAATTTAATGACACAACTATCATCCCCCTCTTCTCCATTTTCTTGGCTTTCCCTCCTCCAAGAAGGCCTTATGTTTGCCAGTGTTACTGGCATTGGGAATCTCTCATCATGCTTCCTATGTGCAGCCTAGGGACGTCCTCCTCTGATAGCAGTACCCCTGCCTCAGATCCTTAATTGCACCACTGCTGATAATTCCCAAGGCTTTCACCCCATCCCTGAAGTACCCTTGTTTCTTGACCCAGGCCGCTCCAAGTTTGATTTTTTTTTTTTCGAGACAGGGTTTCTCTGTGTAGCTTTGCGCCTTTCCTGGAGCTCACTTGGTAGACCAGGCTGGCCTCGAACTCACAGAGATC